GGGACACCGTCCGCCCCGCCCCCACCCCCAGCGCGCCCGCGACTTCTCGACAGCTTCTCGGTTCCGAAGGCCACAGCAGAAGCCCTGGAGGCCGTGGAGCGTGCGTTGTGGGGTCCGGCTCGGGCTGCAGACGGTGGTGCTCCTGGGACAAGAGGGTCCCTGTCCTCACCTCTGGAGAGGGGGTGCTCTCCCCGCCCTCCCATTGCAGTGGACTGTGGGGCGTGGTGGGCACTGACAACTGCCACGAATGGTGTCCCGGTGTCCTTCCATCTCCCCCTCATTCATCAGCTTCGGGTTCAGGACTCCTCTGTGTAGCTTCTGCGTGGGCCGCCCGACCCCCATGCACAGCTCTGCAGGGACACCGCCACCCAGCTCTTCCTGTCCCCAGCCGAGTGCACCGTCCACACCTGCCCACCCCGTCCACATCAGTGCCTTCCATGCTGTCCACACCGGCCTACAGGCCCCAGAGCCCACACAAGCACCAGGGCTCTGCCTTGGCCAGTGTGAGGGGCGAGGGAAGCTCTCCTGGGCTTTTATTTTCCACGGTTCTAACTGCTAGTGGGCGTGAGCATGTCCTCACGTGAGGTCTCTGGGTTCAGGGCTCCCCTTCAGGAAAATGCATGTATGTTTCTGGTGGAGCTGCAGAGTCCCTCATCTGTCCTGGACGGCTGTCCCAGCTGGGTGTGCACACGCCAAATATCCTCTCCTGTTCTGCTGCACTGGCCTTCATGGATTGGAAAGCCAGACGCACGGTGGCATTTGCCTTGCAGCCTGTGCTTTGGCCACCTCGTGTGTGGCACCCTTTCCTGCCTGCTCAGGCTGCACGGACAGCGCTGGCTGCTGCTCTTGGGCTCCACGTCTTGCCTGCATGCCGAGGTCTGCAGGCCCTGCGCAGCTCGCCTCAAACCCGCTGTCGGGGGCAGGTCCAGTTTAATTCTGCTACTTATCATGAGCCTGTTTCCCCACCGTTATTTGGCTGAACCCCGCCGTCCCATTGACTTGTGAGGCTCTGTCACTGTGCGTCAAGTGTATCGGGGTCTGTCCCTAGACTCGGCTCCATTCCCTTGGTCTGAGGGTCTGTTTTCACCCAACTCCACCTGGTTTGTGTTATGACCACTTTGACATCTGGAAGAGCTAGCGCCCCTCTTTTCTCTCTTTTAAGGTTTGCTCAGTTATTCATGCCTTTTTCTTCTGTAAGTTTTAGGGTACATTTACCTAGTTTCTGAAAAAAACTCCCACTGTAATTTTGAATGGGATTGCAAGGACCTTACAGATTAATTAGGAGGCACTGACATCTCAATAGTGTTCGATGCTCCCGTCCAAACGCGTGGAATGCCTCTGTGTTGACTCTGGTCACTGCCTGTGGCCTTCATTAGAGTTTTAAAGCTCTCTCCACGGAGGTTATGTACGTTCATCGCTAGATACTTTATAGTTTTTCTTGCTACTGTGAATTCTATTTTTTTCTAATTGGTTATTGCTGGTGTAGAGCAATACTACTGATTTTTCTCGTGCACTTTAAAATATCGAGGTGAAATTCCCTTAACATGAAATTAACCATTTAAAAATATACATTTTAGTGGCACTTGACACATTCACTATCTTGTGTGACTACCACTTTTTTTCGGAGCTCTTTCAGAG